GATTTTGCTTATAATTTGTATTTTTGCTTCGGTGTGATTTTAATGCAGGATCATTCCTCGTAGAAATACATAAATGTGTCCAGTTTTCAAGTGACCTTAAGCTCTTATAAAAAGTCCTAACAGCAGATGGCTCTTCCTCCTTCATCACTTCTGTCTCTCACCCTCTTTCTCACCCTCTTTTCTTTTTGTTCTGTCCCGCTCTTTGCCTCTCTCTGGGCTTTCCTCCAGTTTTACGCGATGAGCTGATGGCCAACAAACAAACATTGGCCCCGGTCCTCGGCTTGCAGAGAGGACACAGAGCAGCAGGGCAGAACAGCAAGGTTGCTATATCACTTTCCGCATGATCCCTCTGCAACGCCTACTCACTGTACCTCACCAGCTGCACCACCGCTTTTCAGAGCGAGATGATAGCTGCTTAAAAATTATCGGTTGAGGGCAGTGACACGGTACAGCAAGCAGGGAAACCGCTCTTAAGTTTATGAAAAGTTAAATGACTTTTGCTCTTATGGATAAATCATTGCTCTTGCACAGCACTCATACCTGGTATGAGGTGGCAGGAGGTTGAAAGGAGTTGTTTTGTAGTAAAATATTCTAAACATAGAATCTGGTGGGTTAAAAAATGTTTCCAGTCAGCAGAGAGGACTGCAAAGTTACAGATAAATGGTTATTATTGAAGTAGATATGTGACGATAAATGGACTAATTTAATTCCAAAAGATCAAAATTCCTTTGTGTAAATGAAGTGCAATGACGGATGACCATATCAGATTTTCTTAGCCATTCAAAAGCTTGAAAAGTTTCTTATTTAAATAATGAACAATACTGTACAAAATACGATGTGATCTGAGAATACATCTATCATTCATTAGCTGCTGGTTCACTCAGTCCTGATGGTTTGTGGTGCTGAAGTTAGTGAAAGTAAGATGTGTTGCAGGACTCTTGCACTAGACTGCTCTGTGTGCTTAAAAAACAGGCAGGTGAGCTTATATGCTGATGATGTTTGTGAGGATGCTTGGGCCAAATTTGATGCTTCAACTCTGTGGGTGAAAATCACACCAGACAACACGGCCTTCCTGTTTCCCACTGATGTGAAATAGACTTGGTGATTGTAAAGGGTTGTATTTGCAGTGCGTAGCTGTTAGCTGACCTTCAATAAAATAAAGAGGATATTTAATATCTGTTTGAAGGATGAAGATTCATATACAGCACTGTGCAAAAGTCTTGAGTCACCCCTCATTTCTGTATATTTTGCTTCCAAGAAGTCAGCTTTTCATGCAATTTTTTAAAAAGTGAACTTTTGCAATAATTCATGCTTTCTTCGGTCTTTCGCAGTTTTTCTTTGGACATTGGCTGCCTTTTCACTCACTTTCAGTCCCGTCCTTGTAATTGATCGTTTTATGAGGAGTGTTTATTGAGCCACTTAACACTGATGTGGATTATTGATTATTATGAATTATTTAAGCATAAAAAGGCACCTAACCCGAGAGATGAACCAAGTCAAGTATCAATGTATTTGTGTAGCACATTTAAAACCTCAGTTGACAAAAGTTCTCCACAGTAAAAGCCTGGATTTGATTGAGTGATTGCACAACTCTTTTACCAGCAGTGTTGGGGATATGTATCTGATGTCAAAATTCTGTAATTGCAAATGCACAATAATGCTATCAGATATTCATCCACCATGCAACACCATCTGAAAGGCATCCGATTATCAAAAGCTTCATTTTTCAGCACGACAGTGCAATAACGCACAATGAAACTATATAAGTCATGGATTGGCCTCACCAGAGCACATTACCGAAACTTTAGTGAAGCCTGAGATCAGAAGTCAGGCAACTAAAAAAAAAAGACAGGTTGTGTAGAAGAATAAAGGTGGTCACAGCAAATATTGATGTTCAGATTTTGTTAAAAGTGCACAAACTATTTTTTTCCATGTATTTTTGCAGATGTTTCAAGAAATCAGTGCATCTATTTCCCATTTTCCTAGCAAAATACAAAGAAATGAGGGGTGTTTTGCACAGTGCTGAATGTGCGTGTGAGTGACACATACACAAAAAGCCCGTTTTGACTTGAAGGACATGACAGCCATTTTCTGTTAGCCAAGATGAGCCCGGAGGGTGGAAATTATCACAGCATGACCTCCATCCCTGACACACACACCAGTGCAACACCCCCACTCCAACCTTTTAACTCCGTGTTAAAAGGTTACAGATTTTCACTCTTTCAACACTTGAGCGAGCATGATAGCAAAGTTCTCTCCGCTATCCTTTTGGAAAGTGACGCCGGGTGTAAAGGTTTAATCGCCCACCGTGTCAGATACATCAGGGCTTCTTGTCATCAGAGTCCCACCTCTGTCGCTTTGATTCGCTTCCACTCAATCTGCCTGCTTGTTCCTCATCGCTGCCTCATTTTAGCATCTTTTCCTGTGACTCTCTTAGAAGTGTTCTGGCAATCAGAGCACTCATGTGTCCTGACTTACCTCTTTAACAGGGACCCGTAATAGCTGGAAGAAACAACGTTACCAATTGAGTTATTCAGGCAAACATTGTGGAAGCCTCAAGAATGAAGATTGGGAGCTCTTATGTTAATCAGAGGTAGAGTTTTTTTTAAAAATGAATCAGCTGATCAGCTGTCAGTCAAAATATTAGACCAGATAGAATCAGAGACTGTATATTAAAGATGGACATGATAATGAAATCACCCGTTGACTGGTTGGTTGGTTGGTTACCAGTGGATGAAGTACTAAGTTATTGGTTAACAGATAAAAGCCTGAGCCTGGTTCTGCCAGAGGCTTCTTCCTGTTAAAATTGAGTTTCTTCCCCACTGTCATCAAGTGTTTGCTAATGGCGGTCACCTGATTGTTTGGGTTTTCTCTGTATTACTCTATGGTATTTACTTCACCTCATCTTGAGGCGACTGTTGTTCTGATTTGATGTTATATAAATAAAACTGAATTGAATTGACAAACATACTTATAAATTAGTCCCAAATAAACCACATCACTGGACAACCTGACAAGTCCACTGATTTAATTAGTCTAAGTGAAGCCCAGCAATGGGAGGGGATAGTGATAATTCACACGTTTAAACTCGCATTAGTTTAAACTCATAAGTTTCATTCTAAATATATGGAAGTGTTACAAAAGTGGAAATTACAGAACAAAACTATTTTATCTACTAGGCAGTAAATATGTTTGTTTTTGCTATAAAGCTTTATGCTGTAGGAGCTAAACTTGCTTCTGATTAACTGCAGACTTTGGCCCTCATGCATTGGCTTAATTCTTCAGCACTGTAGGTCACTGTATGGCACCATCAACAGAGGTTTTGAGATAGAGGAGAAAAAAAGCAGTATGATTATGTTTCAGACAAAACTTGGGAACCTAGATTCACTAGCAACACTTAAACTTTCATTGTTGTCATCATTATTATTATTCATGACATGTTCGCTTTTTCAAAAAGTCCAACTTTTCAGTTAAACAAAACATAAAAAAGGAGATTCGTGTAACATCACAAGTCAAAAGATAAACAGAAACTGCATGACATGAGACCTCTGTGCCTGCAAACCGCCCGGAGATAAAACTGAAGGTGAAGTCAAAGTGTTTACAGTCTTGTGATGGAAATGCCAATGAGAGATGGGCTGGAAGGAAAGGAGAAGGTTAGGTTAAAAATGCTTCAGATGTTGCACCCACTCTAACAGCTCTTACCCTCACTAACAGCTTCACTTTTGATATAAGAAAGATTAAAAACCGTTCAGATGTGTTTACGTGTGTGTGTTTGTGTGCATAACTGTAAGAGAGAGAGAGGACGAGAGCAAAGGAGTAAGACACTGGAACATAACCACATCAAGAGCAGAGCGCAGCAGGGCAGGCGAAACCAAAGGCCTGTTCCACAGGGGAAGTGATTAAGGCGTTGCACAAGGCCCACGGGGAGCAAAAGGGCAGAAAAGAGAGCTCATTATCCATAATGTGGAAGAAGAGTTATTCTTGCCACAGAGTCACACACACACTCTCGCAATATTACTTAAAAATCCATCTTCTGAACCGAGTGATAGTAAATATGTTGCTCTGGAGAAGGGCTGTTATTTGGGTTAAAGACAGTCAATGAAGAAGTTTGGGATGGGAGAGGGGGGGAGGCAGCTGTTAGGGACTGGAAGATGACTTGTTCTCAGTTGCATGCAGCAATGAATTCGACTGTATTAATAGATTAAAAAATGTAATATTGTGTTCCAATGATTTTTTACAGCTTAATACAAGACAGACGTACTTTGTTGCTCTTGTCATAGTGTATTTTGAGTTTTACAGGTCAGGCTCTCGGAGCAGTCTCTTCTGCTTAACCACTGGCTGGAGCCTATCGCAGCTACCACAGGGTGAGAGGTGGGGTACCATGGACAGGTCGCAGCCCATCGCAGGGCTGACACACAGAGACACAACCATTCATACCTATGGGAAATTCAGAAATATCAACTAACCTAACCCCACTAAAATATTTCTAATATGTTTACTTTAACATCTAATGACAAGTAATGAAATAAGAAAGAAACCACTCAGTTCAGAAGAGTTACCCCCAATCGAGGGGAAAGAGTTAAAAACATTGTTTGTTTCGCTCACAACAGAACTTAACCAGATCATCAGCGTCAATTTTCTTCCGTTGTTTCTTCTGTGTCTCTCTCAAACTTACATGAAGGTGTTACCAAAGCCTAAATATGCAACTGCTGGTCAGTTAAAAATAAACAGGTGGTCTGTTCAGCCGCTTCCCTGGAGGTCACCGCAGTTCCCAGGAGGTCACAGATCTGCACGTTTGATTTGGCCAAATGCCCACCCTCCCATTTATCCTGGCTTGTGACCTCCTGTGGATGGGTTTGTATTTCCTCACAGTCTCAAACCAGAAATCCTTCACGTGAAAGGCAAATTTATTAACCACTACACCAAGAAGCCACCAGGTCACTTAAAAAGAAACGCCGTATTGCAGTTCTTACTGCCGTTCAGGCTCTCTGACATCCTACCTGGTTGATGATGTAGATGCCGTAATCAATCTTCTGGCGTCTGAGAATAGGGTGGAGGTAGTGGAGCCAGTACTTTAGGTGATTCTCTCTGTGACGAAACGGGATGATGATGGCCACCTACACAACAGGGACAGTTTCAGCTCATTACCTGATTGTACTGAATGTGTAGATTTATTATAGATCATATCCCAGACATTACCACTTGACTGCCACGACCTAAACCTGGTTCTGTTGGCGGTTTCTTCCTGTTCAAAATGAAGTTTTCCTTGAGCACCTTGAGGTCACTGTTCTTGTAATGTGGCACTATAAACACACTGAATCAAACCGAATGACCACAAACACACACCAACTAAATCTCTAACACGAGTGAACTGTTATTCCCACAGCTCCTGTTAATGTCACAGTGAACATAAAGCGGGTTCTTATCTATAATGAATAAAGCACGCCAAGTGAGCAGAGCTCACTGGCAACACATACAGACAAATTAAGGGGCCGTGTCTCTGAACTTGAAGCGAGTCATTTTCAGGTGTCCAAGGTTGAACCGTAATCTCCTCTGTGAGTTCATGGTAATTTTGTGTTCAGATGAAGATTGGCAGAAAACTAACCTTGGTTTCTGTATAGTTGAGCACATAAATTGCCCAGATACTCAAAGAGGTGTCATGTAGAGGAGAAAGTCAACCACTGAAAATGCTGAAATTAGGAAGTTCTCAAAAAAGCTGCCGTCCACACCAATATAGCAATGTTTCATTTGTCTCCATTAATTTAAATCCAGTAAAAGTGAAAATGAACTCCAGTAAAAGAGAGCTGATCAATCAAAGTTAAACGAGAACATCAGTAAAGAAAAGGTGAGTCACAATTTTTGTGATATATATATTAACTTCAAATTTTGACTGTCTGAGGATCTTCTCTGCCGCATCTCTGCATGCGTGTTTGTGTTTTTAGTCTTTTTGCAGGTGTTGAAGTGAAGATGGGTATCGTGGTCATCAGCAATGCCACGATCCCTGGTGGCACTGCTCCTATACAGGCAGCTCACTGGCTGATACAAAACCGAGACATTAGCGAACGTTGAACTTAAGGTCGGTGTCAGATCTGAATTCTGTCCTCTAATGTTTAAAGGTTCAAATCGCTAATATTCAACTATCACATTAGGAACAAACTGATTGTAAAATAAAAACACCTTAACGTTTGAAAGATTTGTTTTGACCAGTGTTACCTTTGGCTGTCAGAAGATCTATAAATGCTATGAAATAAAATGTATCACCCATTCTTTTTGAAAGCATCACGCATTTTATGTGCGCTCACAGAGAGCCTGAAGCAGAAAACCTGAGTTAACAGAGAAAGTTGATAACCACCAATATGAAAGCAGTTATCTCAGACTGTGGTTAAAAGGTTTATTTAACAAGGTAATGCAAAGAAAGCCTGGCTATGGACTAAGTCATGCAGATGGTGATCCCCTAGTAACCACTGGTTACTTGGGAAAATGTGTATTCACTCACCATTTGGTTGCTAAGGGTAAATATAGGTTTGCATAGAAGTTGGGGCACCAAAACCCCCCCAAAACAAACTGCTGCGGTTGCCTGTAGTTTCAACTTAACAATTGCTCACTGAGCCCAAACAAACTTTCACCTTCAAAATAAAATTTGCACCATTTAAAACATGAATTTTACTTTGAAAGAGAACATTCTCTATTTTTGTCTTGCATCACTCTTATTCAAATTTCAGTATCGCTCAGCGAGTTTCCAGACAATTCTCCATCTTCAAAGCAAACTGTATTGTGTTAGCTTTTCATAATTTTGTCTATTTCAACATTTTTGTTTAGTACCTCATCATTGTGACTTCGTCTAAGTCTCAGGCACTTTATCAGGCACTAAATCTCATCTTTTATTTTTATACTGGGAGAAGCTGACTTCTGCTAGAATATATTTACAATGTGAAAATATAGTTTATTCAAATGTTGTGAAATACAAATAGCGAGGCATCTACAGACCTTCCATCTGGGCCGACAGTCTGGAGGCGTGTATCGGCCTCCCTCGGTCACATTGGGATTTTCTTTCTGCACTCGTTCCATCGTCATCTGGGAGCTGAACTCGATCAACAAACGCCCCACTGAGGAAAAGAAAAGAGACAGAGAAAGTGAAGAGAAAAGCATTAGTGGGATGAGTTGGGTAACAGACTAGACAGGGCATGAAAGAAGTAAAAAGACATGATGGGGGGAAAGAAAACAAGAGAGGGAATGAGGGACACGGAGCAAACGCTTTTAGCTTCAAAGCAACACTATACGTGTATCAAAGTGATGTGTGCAGAAATAATGATTTCAAGGGATATGTTTCGCATAATGCTTCATTTAATAAGACGCACAGGCTTTGGAAAACCCATACTCCTAAAAAACAAACAAAGACTTTGAAGTCAGATGTGTAAACACATGGAAAGTAATTATGCAGCTTAGTGATAAACCCACATCATACAGTATGTTACATCTCTGCAAATCAATCCTTTGAGTACCGATGAGTCAAAATCTATCAGTGTGCAAGTTTGTTTATGTGCATGAGACCAAATTAAAAGAAAGATATGCTTTAAATCTCTGGCCTGGATGATAAATCCAGCCCCTTGCTCTGAGAACCGCCATCATTAAAACACCCGAGAAAGCTTCGCTGTTTGGGCTCCGACCAAAGCCCCCAAACCACGGACCTCATTTCAACAAACCAGACTCTCAGCACTCATTCTCCAAACTGCAAAATGCCACTCATTAGTGCATGTCTTTCTTCAGCGGCCGGGAACTCATTAGCTCAAATCATCACGCATCATTTGATTCACCAAAAATATTAAGTAGTATTACATGATTTTTATCATTCAAGGCAACAAAAACAAGCCCTGCTTATGCATCTTAATGCAGTTTATCTATATGTGACTGAAATCTTTAAATAGAAAAAGGACAGACGGTGACTGGTTCTTAATTATCTGTATTACAGTGAACACTGTCACTGCACTACAGAGGAGAGAAGCACAGCGAGCGGCCATGAATGTTTTCAACAATATCAAATGTGTTTCAGTCTGCAGATGAAAATAATACACGAAAAAATGCACTTATCCTTGTTTAAATATTCTCTATATTTCTGAGTTGTTCAGATTTTTGGCATTCATTAGCATGAAGTATTTTAACCTGTTCTCACAGTTAATACAAAAGAAAAACACGACACGATAAATCTGGTGTAAATTTTTACCTGATATTGTGGCACCATGTGCTTACGTTCCCACGTTCCCTAGCTCGCATAAGGAGACAAGCAGACGTCTCAGAGAGAAGGAGCTGCAAGTGATTCTCTAATGAGAATTTAGTACACAAAAAACAACCTCCAACAAACTACTTTAGCAGGAAACAGTTTAATTGCATATTTTCCAATGGTGGAAAAAACAAACTTGTTTCACCACTTGAGGCAAAAAACCCACCATTGAGTACAACCAGGACACGAGGACAGATGAACAGACACGAGCGGCAGGATGACGTGCGACTGCAGAAAAACAGGTTAGAAAGCTTGACTTAAATTGAAAAATGTTTATTTTATTATGTGACGATGTTGTGCAGCTGCTGACAAGTTGCAAGGCTAAGTTACTGAAGTGTTAAGCAGTTACGTTATTTACTTTGAGACTTTACATCATCAGACTGATCTTTTCCCCACTGAAAAGCCTAAATAAGTTCCACAATACACTTTTAAGCAATAAAGTGCCATATTTACCAAATATGATACTAATTAAAACTCATATATGCAAATTTATATTTAATTATTAAAAAAAATCAAACCAGAAGGTTCAATAAGGACCCCGTTTGTCCCCCAAAATTTAATTATCTGGCAATTATTTTATAATTTAGGCTTTAAAGGGTTAAAATTCCCATTAAAAACAATATTATTGTGCTTATACATGACTTGCTGTGTCGCTGCTGCAGTATAATACTGCTGCTGCTCACACCTCGTGGCAATGACTTCACACTTTGAATTAGGCAGTCTGTCATCAATGACAAGGATGGAAAACGTCCTTCATTTACTTACATGTATAAATGCTGCTGCCTTCAAACTGTAATCACTAATAAAACATGGTGATTTCATTTTTTTCCTACATCACCATGACATCATTTTGAGGCTACATCATCCAACCTGTACTATTCAGATGGTTGTTTATTATTAAAGCATTTACCTTTTTAAGCTTTGAACATTTTATCTAAAATCCATCCATCTTTTCCTCGACGACACTACAAGAAAAAATTAAGGGAATTTCCAGAAACCGTATGAACCCCGTGTTTTTAAAGCGGCTACGCTTGAAGGCCGCGGAAAAGGTCTGTCCTCTTAGAAAGGATTAAGACGAAATGAGGGTGCACGCTTTACAGTCTCGCCGCAAAACCCATTTAGGGTGTTTTGCCGGGAGTGTCTTGCCTCCTTGCTTAATCACTAAACGTTGGACTGTCAGTTTCAAAGCGTTACAAAAATTAACTCATCGAAAACGTACATGTGAGAGGGATTCGACTGTGTTTGCTGGAAGTTTTGCCAGACTGTAACTTCTCAAACATTTAGATAATTACAGCTAAAGCAGCGATTATGCATCAGTGTACATGGATTGTATGATTCCCATTTGTAAGTATGTATATTTACTGTGCAGTAAACAATCTACTTTCAACATACTTTTGGTGGCCAAGGTGTGTCTTGTGTTGTATTATGCGAGTATGAACAGACAGTATTCGCAGCATCACAGAGCACAGGAAAGAGAGGTGTGGCTCGTAGAAGCCCACGAGACGATAATGGGCTTAACATTGATGCATGAGCTCCGTGTTGAGAGGTCTGCTCCAATCAACACCGTGCAGGTGAAGAGTGTAATCAATGGAAACAAGGTTACATGTCCATAACACACCTCTTTATCACACCACAAGAGCTGAATGCAAACAGTCCCAGCAGCCCCTGACTACTTCTACCCATCGCCCTCCATCCTCTCCGCACTCGGGTCTCTTTCTTCCTCGTTCCCCTCTCACACTAATGAGACAGAAAGTAGAACATGGTGTTTTCATCTTCTCTCTGTGATTTTTTTCCCCCAAACTTAGTTTTCAGGCAGCTAAAACAAAACGGGGGGCTTACTGGATGTAACATAACATAGTATACTGTGGATTAGGTTTTCTGAAAACACAAGAAAACATTGGGCAAGGTTTTAGTTGTTCCTGTTGAGGATAAAAGCTGGTTTATGGGGAAAAAAATCCCCCCAATAAATATAGATTAACATCATTGCAGCACAGGTCGTCCAAGTGTGACTCAAACTGATACTGCTACAATTTCAACTTCGCCTTCTTTACAATTCCAAATATGAACCGTTTAAACACTGGGATGTATACATTCACTGGTCTGCAACGATCCTCAGGTAGGCTGTGGTGTTTAAACTATACTCGACTGCTATTAAGGTGCCCGTATCATTACACCATCATCCTGAACTGTTGATACAAGACAGAATAGATGCTGTTTACGCCAGACAATCTGAACGTCGTAGCAGAAATCGAGACTCATCTTCTGTTGTCCAATTTTGGTGAGCTCATGTGAAGCAGATATGGTCTTCTCCATACTTTGCTTGTAACATGTGGTTATTTGAGTTACTGTTGGCGTCCCATCAGCTTAAAGCGGTATTTCTATTTTCCTCTGGCCTCTGGCATCAACAAGGCCTTTCTACCCAGAGGACAGCTGCTTACTGGACATTTTCTCTTCTTCAAACCATTTTCTGTAAACTCATGAGATGGATGTGCAGGAGAATCCCAGCAGATCAGCAGTTTCTGAAGTTCTTAGAACAGCCCATCTGGCACCAATAACCATGCCACTTTCAAAGTTCCCTAAATCACTTTTCTTTGTCATTCTGATGCTCAGTTTGAATTTCAGCTTGTTGCTTTTACCATATCTAAATGCACATGGCAGCACGTGATTGGCTGATTAGATAAGATATTTGATATTTTGAGTTTTGGTCACAACCACTTGTTAATAGGATTTCATGTGTAGCAATTTTGGTGGCTTGGCTCTAAGAGCAATATCAAGACCACCAAAACAGCACACACTAGGCAATTAATGACAACAAACAAGACACTGATGATGGATTAGAAGCTGGGGTCCAAAGTGGCTTGCAAGGGGCAACATAAGCAGTCTAATTAATACACATCGTCTTTGATTTACTGCTAAAATGCACAGAATGGTATCTGCAGCATTTAGATCTGGATATTTGAGGGGTGATTTGTCTCAGAGATTTATAAAGCATGATATCGAAAGAGCTTAAAAACATAATCATGAAATAAAATAAATTGCCATTGCCATTACCACATGGTGAAAAAGTACAGGTACAATTCAGTAATCTTGAAAAAGCACAGTGACATAGGTAGAGGAAAACTTTTAAAGCTATACAGACTGTGTCGAGCCAGAACACACAAATAACAGAAAGAGAGCATTTTTGTGTTTGTGCATGTGTGATGCAGAAATGTGCAGGTTTGTGTATAAAATACACTTCAACAGACAGTGACGTGTTGTACAATGATAGCAGTGGAATTATCTAACACACAGATACACACACAACAGCCACAGACCCCTAACATGCTTATCTAAGTGGCAATATTACAGTAATACATTATAATCACACTCTTTGATCACTCTATCTGGGACACCTGCTGCACTTTGGGGAATGCAGAACTGCTTTATCTGCAGATATATACACATAACACACACACACACACTATATGACAACCAAATTTCCTCTCACAACAGTAACGAAACAAACGGCAGAGCTATTAGATTAGCAGGACATGTAACAACACAATAAACTGGGAGCACACCTGAGGCTGGATGCAATGTAAGCGCGCGCACACACACACACACACACACACGGTGAGACGTGAAAAGCGGGAAACAGAAACAGGGTAAAAATGGTAGCACTCAGGTGTTTTGTTGGTTCTGAGGGCTTTGTGTGACGTGGCATCCCTTCACAGGTTGTCTATACTCCAAGCTTCTGCTCCTCTCCGCTCTATAATATGTCGTTGACTGCCCTCACCACATAACTCATACATCAAAGCTTACAGACCAATGAAATATTAGCCACAGCAC